ATAAATGAAAATAAGTTCACATGTTTGTGGTAGTTGAGGAAACGGTCCAAAAATGTTGAATATGGCCCTGAGTGTTGCTTAATTCTTCCCTTTGTGTTAAAAGTTGATTTCTGTGTTTTAAAGTGAGTTCTAAGTTTCGATTTCATTACTTTGCTTGCTATTGCTTTAAGACCCTTTGTTTCCCTCTATCTTTCCATTGTTAACCAATACCCTAAGCCCCATTACAACCCTTGACTTCTATCTTGAGTGTTCTGCATTTCAATTTGTGGAGTTTGAAGTTGGTATGAGCATATGGTGTCAATGGTTCTCGCATCTAAGTAGTAGCATTCCATTCATGAGATCATATCTAAACATGTTTATTAACTCCAGAAATTGCTTTCTCTGTGATATATATATATATATATGTGAGTGTTCTTTTCATGTTTCCATCAATCTTCTCACATATAACTAGATTAGGGTGTGTAGTTAGAAATTCTAAGTGAAAATTGAGGGCATATCTTGTAAGGAATTGAGCAAATTCTCTAAGGCATGTTACTACATTCAAAACATGGTTTTAAATGCTTAATTGTGAACTAGTATGTGGTGACTATGATTAAGAATGTACTTAAGTATGAAGATGACTAAAATCTGTGGAGATAATGAATTTTTAACATGTCATGTGCATTGGAAATCCCTGAGGCAACGTTGGAAGGTTTAGATTGTCTTTTGTTTGTTTTGTTTTGTTTCGTTTTGTTTTGTTTTTCTGTTTTGCTCGAGGACTAGCAAAAGCTAAGTGTGGGGGAATTTGATAGGAGCATATTTGTGCGACTTAATTGGCTTGTTCTCATGCATTTACGTTGTGTTTCTTTAGTTATTTTAGTCCTTTATGCCATTTTCGTGTGTTTCTAGGTTCATATGGCTAAGGAAGCAAAAAGGTGCATTTTGGAGCAAAATTGGGCTTGGAATGGATAGCATATGCTTGGAGCAAAAGGAATGGACAAAATTGAAGACCTAAAGATCTTATGTTTGAGCAATATCAAGGACTCCTACCTATTCTAGGTCACAAAACAATGTCCCTTGCAACATTAAAGCCCTTGCCGTGTATCCCTTGGTGTTTCCCTTCCTTGCCGTGCAAGGAAGGGCCTTGTTTCCTGTTTTAAACCACTTAAACACCTTCCTTCTTCATATCAAGCTCAGCCATAACTCACATACCCTTTTATATTCCAAAGTTCTTGCCTAATTTCAGAAATAAATAACATCCCCCTTCCACACAACCTGCCTTCATTCATAGAAAATCAAATCCATTGCCGTGCATAACATTCCACTTTCCAGCCTTCCCACTTCATCATTGCAGCCACATTCTTCCATTCCCACTTCAATCATTCACCCTAGTTGGCAGCCACATGCTTTCCCATTTCAATATCATTCTTCCAAAAACAAGCCTTAGCCGTGCAAAACCTTTCAATTCCAGCAACTTCCCCTTGGAGCCGTGCACTCCTACTCCAGCTTTCCAGCATTTTCTCCTCCATTGCAGCCACTCCAACCACTCCCCATCCCTCCAAAACACTACCCTACCATCACACATCCATTCCTCCATACAAATACCACCCCAAAACCTTTCCTTAGACCTTGTGCCACAACAAAGTGGATGAGAAGAGGGCCTAAACGTTCATACAATTCAAGTTTGAGTTGTTGGAATTTTTAGGTGTTTTCTCTCCTTGATTTCAATGGTTAAATTTACTTATCTTTGTCTTGTACGTATGAGAAACTAACCCCCCCATTAGCTAGGCGGTGATTCGAAACCATGTTTATGCTTGCAATATGAATTGATTACCTTTGGTTGGAATTTCATGAGTTGTGGATTCAATTTGTTTAACTGTTTGATTGATAACTTATTTATGTATGTTTATTGAGAGTGCACGCTTAATTTTCATGCATGAATATGACGCTAAAATATAAGTGAGTTTCACCTAATAGTTATGAACTTATATTCACAAGTAGTGGGGGTTGCTTATAAACAATCGCGTTAAATGAATTCTTGGCACTAGTTTCATGCTCATCATAGTAACGAATGCCTCGTCAACACTTATAGTTTTCATGATGCTTAATGATCTTTGATTGTATCTTTATTGTGCTTTTCACGTAAAGGACTTTTGGAGAATGTTGTGAATTGCGTTGCGCTAACCCATCCAATTCATTAACTTAAGGAGAACTTGACGGTTAATTTAAGCGGACCTAATTAACCCGGGGTGTTGAGTTTCATAATTCATCGAAAGACCAACCGAAAATCATCTTGTATGCAAGTGTAACATGTGTGGAGAAGAACCTTCTAGCTAGCATTCATCCATATTTTCATCACATTCATATTTACATTTTGCCCTTAATTGCAATCTGTGCATTCTAGTTTAATTTCGTCAAAACCTCAATCCCCCCCCCCCCCATATTTTGTTTAGTCTTAGTCATTACAATCTATCTTATTTTGTGTTTTTAAGTATTTGGAGTCTTGTGGACTTATTTTGAGTTTTTGTTAAGTGAGTTAAGTGTTTTAAAGGTTAGTTTTATTTATTTGAGTCAGTTTAAAGTGTTTAGCACCCCTAGTTAATCCCCGGTTAGAACGATCCCTACTTACATCATTACTACAATTGTCACAAATAGGGTTTAATTTGTGTGTCACATTCGTAACGCATCACGGCTTTCACCTATGTGCTCGTACCAACGAGTACTATGTAAATACGCTAAAAGAATAAGTCATACGTTTCTCTAAACGATGGTTAACGAAAGTCAAAGTCCTTGCCTCTAGGGCATTTTCGTCAATTCCCTTGATTAAAATAAATAAAAACGTAAAATTAAGGACGGGTTCTCACAATTCCCAATTTTTGGGAATCCCGAAATATTTTCGATATTTCAGGATGGTTTGGTATTCCCAAATTTCATACAAATTCATATAGCAATCATTCATACCAAGTTAAATTAACATGCAACCACAATAAAATAAGTAACAAACCCAAAAACAAAAATATAAGTTACAAACCTAATATGTTCAAAAACTAACAATACAATTTTTTGATTTCATGTTGAAGAAATAGACATATTTGTAGGAGGTTCATACTGACAAATGTGGCGATAATGGGCTATGGTTACAACCTTAGACCACACCAGTTATATTGTTACTAGTAGTTAGCAACAATTAAATGTAGAATAAAACATATATAAATAATATGTATATATATTATTTATTTTCAGTTCAGTATGGGTTATTTAAAGATTGAGTAGACAATACCGAATCTCATACCAAAATTTTGGGATCGGTTCAGCATTTCATCCCAAAAATTCTGAGAATTTTGGTTTGGGATCGGGATTTTTTTTTGGTTTGGTTCGGGATTTTCGGAATTTTTTTTCTAGCCCTACTTTCACTCATGTTATTTTTTAAATAGTAAAAATATTTTATGTTGATGGAGAGATGATGTCATAAACATGTCAACTAGCAACGTTGAGATGAAAATGGACTTCTAGAGGATAATAAAGTAACGCAATTAAGTTTTAAGAGGTAAAATGAGATTAAAGTAAAGTTATAAGAACCATATATATAAAAAAAGACCTAAGTTTGAAGTGACACCTACGCTCCCCCCTAATGCACCTTTCTTTTATCAAATCTCAGGGACTTGGTCTAAGGCCATCTCCAACCGAAGGGTCCAGAGGGCCAGAGGGCCGAAAATAGCCCGAAAACCGTCTCCAACCGAGAGCTAGGCCAGAGGGATCTGAAATCTAAAAGGGCCCCATGGAATCAGAGAGGGCTAGAGGGCTGGCCATTTTTTATTTTTGCTTATGTTGGATTTCATGTCGGTTATAACCGACATGAATTCTTTGAATATTTTTTTTAACAATTTTATTATTATTTTTTATTTACAAAAATTTTCCTATAACTTCTATTTTTCATATATATTTTTTAAATTCTCTATTTTTTTCCTATAACTTTTATTTTACAAATTTGTTTCATATTTTTTTTAATTTCATTTTTTCCTATAACTTCTATTTCACAAAATTTGTTTCATATTTTTTTTAATTCTATTTTTTTTCTATAACCTCCTAAGCCATTATACAACGTTAAATTAAATTAAGTAACATGAAACAACATTAAACAATATTAATAACATTAACCAACATAAAAATTATACAACATAAAAAAAAAACATTTAACAACATGAAACTTAAACAACATTTAAGTTGTAGTTTTTAAATAATAAATTATGTTTGGCCCTATGGCCATTTGACCTTCGGTTGGAGACGGTTTTTTGTGAAGGGCTAAAACGAGCCCTCTAGCCATCTGGCCCTCGGTTGGAGACGGAGACAAATATGGTCATGTACTGTTCATTAAAATATTAATATCTTGGAGGGCCAGAGGGCTAAAACGAGCCCTATGGCCAGCCCTCGGTTGGAGATGGCCTAATCATGAGGGTAGTATTTTATCATGGTGACCTCGCTGGGTTGGGTGGCCGGGTTAGCACCCCTTGCTACCTTTGCGAAACATTAATATATGAATTGTTTCATTATTTATTATATATGATTCTTGCGAGAGCTGGAAAAGCGTCTATGGGTAAACCCTCCCTTAATGTTCGTAATGAAGGTAAGATCGTAAGAGATGATAGTGAAGAAGATGGGGTGGGGAAGTTTGGTTTTTTTCGGTGTTGATTTATAATTGGTTCACGAAATTAATAGGTTTAAAAAGGACTTTTTACATTTAAACTTAACTGAAGGAAAACGAAAATCACAATTTTAATCAACATTGCTGACGGACTTCACAACATGGTCACTCATTGTGACACTAACTCCACCCTCTTTCTTTGTTTAATACTATCGTTTGTTAAAAAAGAATTAACATTGCTGACAAACTTCATAACATGGTCGTAAGAAAAAAAAGTTTTTTTCACCATAAATTTCAATTCAAAATTAGATAGTTACTCATCTCCGGGCCACGAGAATAATTTAGCAAATATCAAATGAGCAAGAGAAAAAGAGATGAATGATTAGTACAAATAAAATCAAGAAAAGGAAAAAAAAAACCGTCCGAGTCACAAGCTCTCCCTCTCTCTGTGCTTATGAGTGTTGAAAATTCCCAGATAGGAGTAAGATTCTCATCATACTGAACCAGGTCTCCCACAAGTCACAAACCTCTCGCTCCTCCTCCTCCTCAGATTTTTAGGGTTCCGGTTCTCTTTGGGGCGCTTGAAAACTGTTCTTTCAGGTCAGCTTTCTTCCTTCTCACTCTCTCTTTTGCCCTTTCAGTTTGTTCTGAATTTTGTTATTTGTGTTTTCTGTTTGTTTATTGTGAACTTTAAATTTTCAGTTTGCTCGATGTAAACAACATATTACGTTTTACTGATGATTCCAAGATTTGGGTTGGTTTAGGTTAGTTGAGTTTTACATTTATTTCTAAAGAAATTGAAAGCAAGACTTTGAAGTTTCGTATTTTCTTGGCTAGCTATTAAACAATGGGGGATTTTACTGTGGCTGGTTGGTTGTGTATATCTTGTGGTCTTTTTAGTTTTTGGGTATCTGAAATTTTCCTACTGCTGAAAAAATTGGAATTTGGAACGTAGGTGGGTGCTGCGAAACCCTATTTTTCACGCTGTGAAGTGTGATAAAATTAGGGGTTTGATTTGCAATGGGAGTCGAAGAAGGAAACAGCAATGACGATGGTATGGAATCCAATAAAGAAGTTGAATGCTTGAAGAGTGAATCCAATGGATTTGGAAATTGTAATGACATTGCCAAAGGCAGCTCTGGTGCAAGTGAGGGTGTTCAAACTTATAAAAGGCGGAGGCAGGCGAGGTTCCGTTGGGATAGCAGGTCACAGGATGATGGGGGAGCTGATGTGGAATCATCGAGTCAATTAGCAGACCAGGTGCTTCCTCTAGCTCTTGCTCTGTGCTAGTATTTCATGTTGACAAAAACCATATTCTTTATTAATACGACAATTTTGTAAAGCAGGGCTGTAGTATTCTAGTGTGTTCGCTTATCTCCCTTCTCCCTTGTAATTTTTTGTGTTGAGTTTTAACGGAATTCGACTTGAGCAATGGTAAGCTGTACTTAGTTTAGACAGAAAAATTAGCTTATGAATCGCATCCTTATGAAAAATTTACAACAAGGCTCATAAATTTTGAGCGCCCAATGAGTTTTTTTAGTTTTTTAACTCAGAACAATGAAGATTTGGGGAGGATCACAAAGAGGTTGGGATATGAACAAGTTAACTTAACCATCATTACTTTTCTCATTAACGTATTTGAGAGCTCATTAGGCTATTTAGTGGGCACTGTTAGTAGGAGGAAAATGATAGATGTTTATTTTTCAGGGATAAATGTGAAACAGAGTTTATTGATTGCAAGTTGAATTTTTTTTGCTTTATTATGGGTAATCATTTTACTTGAAGCTTTGAAACTGTGACTAAAAATTGGAGCAATGTATGAGCATTCTTCCCTGGATAACGAAGACCTCATTGTGGTACTTTACAATATGGCTAATTTAGCTATGATGAGCTACAAATGTGATGCAATCTACATTGTTCCGGAATAAAAGATTTACGTACACACAGATATATGTATGTCTTCAGTTACCACTCTTGTAATCCAGCCAATTGTACTATTTGGTCCTTGTTTTTTCCTCATTCACTATGTTTGATTTCTGCAGCGTCTAAAGGAACCATTGTGCACAGATATACACAATAACTCTTGTGAGCAAGTCCATGTTCGCATGAATAGTTCAGATGCACGTTCAGATAGGCACTGGACAACTTCCGTACTAGAGAACATGTATGAGTCACTAGGTGATGATGAAGGTGGTGTACAAGAGTGCATCCGAGAAGCGATTGCGCATTTTCAAGAGGTTGATCACACAACACGAGTTAAGGTTTGTGCTGCAACCAAGAGTCCATGTGTTCTACATATGATTGTAGATTGACAGGCTTATGGTCATTCCTTCCATACCTTCGAGTTTCAAAACAACATGATTTTTAAATTTTCTGTTATATTGATTGTTTTTGCAGGAATCTGGTCATCATAATGAGGATAGGCACCGATACTGTTTTCTTACACGGTCTATATTGAATAGATCTCAAAATGCCGCCAGCAGGCATGCTGGTGTTATATCTAATGGATCTTCAAATAAATCAAATCATCATACAGTTACCGCAATGTGTCAGCACGCTTTTTATAATGTTTTAGTTTCAGAAAAGTTTGCCTCTTTGTGCAAACTGCTGCTGGAAAATTTTCAAGGAATCAAGGATGACAGCATTTTTGACTTTAGTCTTATAAACTCAAGGATGAAAAGGGGAGATTATGAGCACTCGCCTATGCTCTTCTCAAATGATATGCAACAGGCAAGTTGGATATTCTTATGTTGTAGCTGTCATGATAATGAATGCTTAACTTTTGCTTAATATCATGGTCTGAATGTAATAATATGGTGTGTCAAGATTAAATGGTTAAGTCCGTTAATGATTATGATTCCCAGAATGGTTATGATTTCAAAAGAAATGGCACTTCATATGGTTATCATTTTGGGAATGGTTATGATTGATGTATTTTCAGAATGCTCTCCATTAACTGGCTGGAGTTGAAGGTATTGGTTGGTGATACCTGTTTAAACATTATGTCTCCGAATTCAATGTGTGCTGAAAACGCAGTCAATTGGTTAATCTGCTTTAGTAAGGCGTATCATGTTTATGGAGTGAGATTTACTGCTCTCTACAAATACAGATTTAAAATCCATCTTCGCGAAAACACTCATTAGCTCCAATTCATTAAAAGGTGATTTCGATAATAAAATGATTTGGAGGCATGATTGATCTCATCACATGAATTATTTATGAGTGAAAAAGATTCTGTAAATGTAAAGTACCAGAAAGCTATGCATACAAGCAAAGGTTTGGGTATTAGTTTGGAAAGTCTTGGCATATTAATGTTCCCAAATAGCGTATGGCTTATAATCTTTATATCCCTGCTTTTAGTTTCTTGCAATGTTTTGGTGGTCGTAAATTTTGTTGGCTAATGTATGTGTCATGGTGAGGCACAGGTACCTGGAGACAGTGATCACTTGTGGTTGCTTTCCTTTTGAATGACCATCTGTCTGATGCTTGATAGATGATATATGATATATGATTCTGATTTTCTTTTTCTATATGCATGTGAATGGTATACACTTTGGAACTCTCCCACCTGTTTCACTATTTATATGTTAAAGTCTGAATTGTCTTATCATACTCCGTCTTCTTTTTTGTGTCAATTTACATATTCCAAACCTGAGTGTTCTGCAGGTATGGAGAAAGCTTCAAGTGATTGGTACCAACATGATTTCTCTTGCAAAAAACCTCTCGGATGTGTCAAGGGCTTCTTACAATGAACAGGTTGGGTGATTCAGTTGAGAGATGTATAGTCCATATACCTGAAGATTTAGTTTATAGAAATCTATTAATTCTAGAAATAACTTATTGTATGTTCATTCTGTGGTGTTGTAAGGCTGATCTCACAAATTATTTTATCTGTCATCTCAGGTGGGAGGTTTAGTCCACAATACAATGAAATATGGAAAAAATGAGGTACAAGAGTTTTCTATTGCCTATTTTCCTCTTGCTTACTTGTCACTTGTAGGAATTTGGCCTCTTTCAAGTTTCATGTGATTTGTCGTTCACCAGAAAAAAAAAAAAATAGTGTTTTGTCTAATTATTGTGATGAGATGCGTCACCTGACAATGAAAGAATTCTGAAAACAATTTTCAGGGTACGACATGTCTGGCTAAATGCATCGTCATTGTCAATGTACTTTGGTGTCTGGCTAAATGCATCTCAGTTATTATGATTATGATTTTTGTTTTTTAAGGTATTGATCAGCCTAGTTTTTAGGTGTATTCTAACTTTTGTCACTTTAAAACAGTTCTACCCCTTGGGATCTGACTTTCACACTAAACTGAAGCAAACAGAGGATTGTTGTGTGCACAGTGTATGCACTTGCAGGTGCTGCGGATGCTGTGCAAATGGGAAAGATTGTTTAGTATGTGATTCATGTGAGGAGATGTACCATATCTCTTGCATTGAGCCTGCTGTCAAACAGATTCCTCCAAGTTGGTATTGTGCTAGGTGCACTGCAAGTGGTCTTGGATCATCCCATGAGAACTGTGTCGTGTGTAAGAAGTTGAATGTGGCCAAGACTCTAGTTGATGGAGTTGGAGGTGAAAGTGTTGCTACAGACGAAGAAACAGTCAATGAGACAGGTCAAAATTCAAAATTGAGTGCAGATGATGGAATCCAACTATCAGAAGAAAGCAAAGAAATTTGCAAGACTTGTGGACTTGTGGTAGAAAACGGTGAGAGGTTGAGGATATGTGGTCATCCATACTGCCCCAAGAAATACTACCATATGAGGTGTCTGACAACTAACCAGTCAAGATCGTACGGTCCCCGATGGTACTGCTATTCTTGTCTATGCAGAAGTTGTCTCACTGATAAGGATGATGATATGATTGTGCTTTGTGATGGCTGTGATCATGCGTACCACCTCTATTGCATGGAACCACCACGGACCTCTATTCCTGCTGGAAAATGGTTTTGCAGAAAATGTGATGCAGGAATTAAGGCCATACGCAAGGCAAGAAAGGCTTATGATAAGAAAGAAAAGACAGAGAGAGAGAAAGATGAAGGATCAAGGAAAGAAAAATGCGATGACAGGGAATCAGAACAAGGTAGAGGGGGTATGGAGGTGCTTCTCTGCGCAGTCAATACTCTAGATGATGAAGAGGTTATGAAGAGTAAAAAAGAATGAGACAATTTTCTGGGGACATGTTTTTGTGAGTAACGATTTTGATTTTTGTAGGTCTATCTCAAGGCTACGAAGTCTGTTAGTTTTCGTTGGAGGCGATATTTTGGTAGGTTATAAATTCTGTTAGATTCTGCTTATTTTTGGATAACTCAGCGAAAGACAAGATACCAAAATGGCTGTAAATTTAGTTTCTTTGTTGCTAAAAGTGCAGTATAAGAAAACAGCAACTCGGTAAATGATCATTTTAACAGCCAACATTGAACAAACTGGTGGTTTCTACTTTTGTAAGTACTTAGTTTTGAAAGGTATCAGAAAGTAATTTTCGCGCTTATGTTGTAAAATGATGAAAGCTGATAAAATTTCGATAACTAATGGAACACTTTTTGAACATTTTAAGTTTCTTATTGGGTCTTTCTTGTGGTTTTATATTTTGGTACATGAAGCTTGATATAACTTTTGGAAATGCTTCTTTGTACACGAATCTGTTCTTCTTTGAGATTCTGTTTGGTGGACATGGACTGGTACTTCATCCTTACTACAATACTTGTGATTTTTTTTGTTTTTTTGTTTTAGATTTACTCTTTTATATAATTTCGAAGTCTATTTTATTGTATTTTATTTCTTGAAAAGTGTCCATATTATAAGTTTACTGCCGGCCCTTTGGAACCAAATTTTTAGTTTTGGATTGTACTCATCGTTGGTTGTAATATTCTTTGTAATCATAATATTCTTAAAGTTGATATTTTTTTTTTTATATGGATGGCCTTGTTGGCCGAATCTCCTTAGTAACTTTCGTTTACTTTGTGAACAATTTTCTATGTTCTTGGATTCAAGTCGGTGTTTGTTTTAGTTTCTGGATATGTTAGTGATATTGTCCTCGAATATGAGTTAATTGAACTATGCTTCTCGTATACATGTGACTAAATTCAATTAACACGTGATTAGGTATGAATGTGGAAAAGTTAGTTGTCTGAATAAATGCGACGTTGGGAACACTAACTTTATATCTAAATCACATCTCTAGCAACGACTTCAGGTCTATATAACTTGATGAAGAGCATTGGTACGCTCCTCGTTGTATGAGCAATACTGAATTACCATTATAGAGATATATTCTCCCTGTTTGGGTAAAACGTCGTTGAGTTCTTAGGATATTTGAGAGAACAATAGAATGAAATATCTTGAACAATAAAATGAAATATCTTGCACCACCTCCAAAAATGAGTCTGAAGCTTTGTTTTCGGGCCGATGAGTTGCTTCCCAACTAGACGTGCCACATATGGTTGGCCTATAGCTGGATGATTCGAGCGGTTTACTTGCTTTAGCATGACCATTTGAGACACTTAGGTCAAACACTGATGCCATGATGCACCCAGAGTAAGGATCTTGCGCCTACAAGCACACTAAGCCAATCCTACTTGTGGAAATTGAATTTCCTACACGATGTTTTAACATATCTCTAATTAAAAAAATAAAAAATAAATAAATAAAGCATTCTCCCTTCTCTCCCCATTCTCACATTGTCTCTCACTCTCTTTCTCTTTCTCTCTCCTTCCATTTTTAAAGCAAAAATAAAAAAAGTTCACACATATTTTATGTGTACCCATATGCTAGTTATCCCATAAAGTCTGGAAGACTAGATAATGCTAGAGAGTTTATTGATGATGTTTCAATAAGTATTGCATGTTTTTGGGTTGAGATTGAACACCAATTCTCTATGTTCACCCTAAAATAGCCTCACAGAGCAAAACCTTGGTGAACGCACCAAGCTTTTGGTTTCTGCCTAGGGCTATGCAATCTTGTATGCAACTATGTTAGTCCGCATTGAGACCCAATGCCACCCAACCATTTATGGCATTAAAATTGGTTACTGGGTGTGAACCTGCATTTTGTACTTGCACGTTTTGAGTGTCCATTTTCTGTGTCAAGTTGTGCCGCTGCAAAGTACCAATATGGGTCTTCACAGAAGGTTGTGAATCTTTGTCGATTACGATTCTCCCTCACACTAGTTGTTTAAAGCTCTTGCAAGAGATCTTTTACCGTTCATTTGCATATTGTTAGTTCAATGAGACAATCTTCCGGTCGTTGGAGGAGATAAGAACATCAACATTCCTATAAAACTGCGTGAATTTGCGTGAATGTTGCGCATTATGTCTGATATTGGATCCTCGTACTACATAAGTATGATAAACAAGCGCAATGAATTCTAGCTTTCATAATGTTTCTCCATACGCATTCCTATGAACTATCTAAAGTGACAAGATCATATACCAGTTGCAAACATCCCTGCAAGGATAGACGTACTTAATGGACGTCGAGTCAACATCCCCGAATGATGTGCTACCTCTAAGGGATGGTTTGGTTGCCCTTGTTGAATGGTCTTGTACATTGGTTGATAGCTAAGCAATCTATCTTGGCTTGAAGCATGACATATCACTTGGTTCATAAGATTCACTTCTCTAGAAAAGATACATCACACAAAATAAATCCATACTTGATCGCTATCTCAATCATTTCCATCTCATGAGATTAATCTGGATTACTCCCGAAACTTGAAGTTCTTGGCCTGAGACTTGAAGATTGGTTCAGCGTTTTGATGAGATATGGAATTGGAATGAGATTATCATCGATGATGTTTTCACTAATATGGTAGTTACCGACAAAAATGAAAAGTGATGATGTCGAACCATGTTTCATTTATTAGTGACAATGTAGAACTAATTGGACAACTGAAATTACAATCCAAGTTAATTCCTTACCAAAGTATGTTCGGACTTTTTGTTCCTACATTGCCCAAGGTAACCCTGTTGTGTTATAAGTGGGAAAAGAAGCATAATGAGATGAATGAAATAGTGCGATGTAATGAATGCCTTACAACACAAGGTTTCTCTCAAACGCCCTGTGATTGATTGCAACATTATGATTGTGGTATAAAAGTGTTTCTCCATGGGGATATTGATATGGAGATTTTCATGTAAATTCCTGAAAGATTACATAGACTGGCTCAAATAGTTCCAGACTACGACCACTTTCTTAACTCATTTGAGTCGTTCACTTTAAGGATTGAAGCAATCTGGGGGATGTGGTATACCTGTCTAAGTGGTTATTGGATCAATCAGGGATATAAAATTATGCCCTTGCACATTAAAGGAAGAAGTCTTATTCCGAATTGTTAGAGTTAAAATTTATGTTGTTGACATGAATCTTACTAAGACTTTGGAAGGGTTTGAGAAAATTGCCTTGTGCCTGAAGATAGAATTTGAGATGAAGGATCTTGAAAAACTCGTTTATGCCCTGACCTAAATTTCAAGCGTTGTTTTATGGGTATTTTGGTCTACTAGTTGAACTATACCCCAAGGTGTTACCTTTGAGTATACCTATGATCTTCCATACGCTATATGCAAATGAGACCCTTGAAGAGGCTATGGAATCTGAAGTTCCATATCTAAGTCTAACTTTGCCCTTTGTTGTACTTAGTTCAATGCTTTAGATAAGACATCTCCTTCATTATTGATCTATTAGTAAAGATGCAGCACTGCGCCTACACGCAGCCATTAAATTGGTATTAAAGACATATGTTCTCTACCTTGTAGGTACTACATTTGGGCTTATCCTCGTGCATCCTGAGTGGATCCGACCCCCCGATCCTCAGAATGATGCTTATCTTGTTTATTATGTTGACGCTGGTTACTTATCAAACTCGCACAAGGCACATCCCCAAATGGTTCTGTCTTTACCTTTAGGGAAATCACAATATCTTAGAGGTCCATGATATAGACCTTAGTTGCAAAATCTTCGAATTGATCCAAAACACACCCTCACTACGCCACACGTGAGGCATGCTTAAGAGCTTTTGTTGAGCATATTCGAAGTACCTGCTATTTCCATTCATTGTTGATTCTTAATGATGATCCATGAAGACTATCCCATATGTATCAACTAGACCAAGACATGATACATCCCACGAAGTCAACGCCAAGACATATTGCTTCTACATTACATCAACAAAGCATCATGATATTGAAGTCAAGCAATCCAATTCTAGAAAACCTTGTCGACCTCTTCACAATGTCACTGTTGAAGTCTACCTTCTAGAATCTTGTTCGAGGAATTGGTATGCCTAATTATTCATATGCAATGCTTGTAGTTCTCATTTGGAAGTTTTGTCAAACTCAGGGGAGTATCCAGAAGTATACTTACTTGATTTTAATGTATTCTTTTCCCCTATGATTAAGAGCATTTTTCCCATTGGGTTTTTTTTCTACTTAACGAGGTTTTAATGAGACACCCATCCTAAGTAGGTCATACCCTTGTGAGCTTGCTACTTGAGTCTAGAAGAATTATAGTTTTGACCGAATGCAACTTCTCACATTTCTTCTTAGTCTATGAGTTTTTATCCCACCTTGGGTTTTACCATAGCAAGGTTTCATGAGTTTTACCTTTTATGTATTCTTCTGTTGATTTGAGACTTGCATTCACTCATTGTTGCTGACGACTTGATCAACTTAGGTTACTTCACCACTAAAGACCTGATGCGCCATTTACTTGAGTATTTACACACTTAAGGGGGAGCGTTGCAGTCCGTTAGGAATGTGATTGTGTAAATCGTAGGAAATCCTTATGAGATTCTACCATGTCTTATCTTTAGATATTATCCTATTAGAATTATAATCCTATTGGGGTAAAGAATTAACCATCCCTACTACTATAAATAAAGGCACAATGGGGGTGAGAAAACACATCTTAGAATTCACCAAATTCTCTCCATGCTTGCCGCAACCTGTTTCTCAATCTCTCTATAATTCTTCAGTCAAATTGGCCTATAAGTATGTGTTTTTGTGATTTGTTTACAATTTTTAGTCATTAGGTTTTCATGCATGCATTTTGAAAGCTGTAGACCTTGAATTGAAATCTATTCCATATATTTAGTGGTGTCAATTAATGGGATAGTTTCATTTTAATTGCAACACGCATCAACTAGTTTTGTAGGTATCAGCTTCTACTTAGTTGGCTCATAACTTTGAGATCAAACCATATTTTTATCTATCCATTCATTTATTCTATTAATATTTTTGCTTAGCCCTCAAGTCCATTTCTACTATAAAAGGACTTCCATTCATTCATTTATTCAACTCCACTAGAAACATAGGTAATGCATGCATAGTCCAGATTATACAAATGAATGTATATATTATATGCATGTATGTATATGTATATATATTTATATATACAGAATAGAAAGTGAGGGGAAAAAAAAAAGAAAGAAGAAGAGTTTAGGGGTAGAGGGTTCCATATGTACAGATTGTTAGCAGACTTGTCTTGCCGGGATTCTAGCTATCAA